TTCCCCGGTCATCTCAGGGAAGGACGGAAGAAGAAGGAAGAAAGACGACAGAAGACAGGCAATACACCTAAGCAAATGTCGCCCATGTGCAATTGAGCGTAGATGTTCATGGGTGACAAATCACCAGTGAAGGGGTCGAACCTCCTGCTGGCGGAGCAGTGGGTCTATTTATATCCCCCCTACCCACGGGGGGTGTCAATTTTGGGGCATATGGAGTTACTGGTATCACCTTAAAGTCTGTTCATTTGCCTTGCTTTTTATGGAAAAAGTACCAGTGCAATGTATATCTCGAATAGAAGTCCAGATGTATGGAACTGAAAGAGTTGGGGGTCGTTTGGTGTCAAAGGTAAAATTAGCGAGAAAATGGTTGCCGAGGTTTTGTAAAACCCAAAGCTGTAGTCTCATAGGAGACTGCTAATTCTTCATTTTTTGTGCCTATGATCAACGTTTTCCAGTTAAAAACTACACAGATGTGTGTCTATCAATGGCCATAAAAGGTGTTGAAATAGATTAATTAATTAATTGAATAATTAATTATACATTAAAAATAATAATAGTTAAAAATATCACAGCAGTTAGAACTATTTCCAATGCTGCCATTTCATTATTTTCACGAGAGCCCAATTTCACCACGATGCCTCACATTTAGATCATTTAAAAGGCGAGCTGCTTCGCGGAGATATCCGATACATTCTTCTTTCTCAGGATTCGATATTAAGTCTTCTGTGTGCAACATCAAGAGCCAGATCACTACACCATAAAAGCTGGTTGTGCGGCGAACGGAATCGAGTCATCGTCGGTCGCCTGATAAAACCGTGAATTCCACAAATTTTCGAAAATCGTTTTTTTGGTGCATATTTTTATAGTGCTCTGTGAGATACATGTCCCTGTAAAACAATTGATCAATTATCTCAACTCAAACGTGTAATCTGACGTAATAAGAAAATCGTGAATAAACACCGTGCCCTATACGTTCTTATACTATCTCTGACCGTCTAGACCGTGCCCTATACGTTCTTATACTATCTCTGACCGTCTAGACCGTGCCCTATACGTTCTTATACTATCTCTGACCGTCTACACCGTGCCCCAAAAGTCGCCTGAAGAAACCGTGAATCCCACACCAGTGTGGAATTCACGATCTCATCAGACGGTTTATGACTCGAAGGGCTGACCGTTGGCGCCGTGAACGCCTCTTTAGACCATTAAAATAAGGGCGACTGCGTTGAGCAAACACAATGGTCGGTCAGTATTCACGGTTTACAGGCCAAAGAGTATATTTTATGATGTCGACTGAATGCGTTTCGCAGGAAAACTTCTCTGTCACATGATTAAACTGTATGTTTCCTAGAAGCTGGTATTGTTTCACAACCACTGCCACATTCGAATGTATAATGTGTGTGGCCTTTTGGTAGTAGGCTGTACAATTTGATCTTCTTGTTTTTAATTATTTTTTAAATTGACGTAGTTAAGTATAAAGTACAAGTATATTTTCGTTTTGTATCACAATCCAAACTTGTTTGACATTAAAAGCTCACTGATTTGACATCCGTGATAGTGAACGAGAAAAGGAATTTTGCAAAGTCGAGCAATGTGAACCACTGTGGACATCAAAGAGAGCTGCAGAAAAACCAGCACGGAAATAATAGAAGAACCAGGCCTCCATGAAAAAAACCGTCTCATTCAAAGTACACGATGCGTTGGAGCTGGTCAAATGTGCTTTTTTAACCTCCGAGAGAGAGAGAGAGAGAGAGAGAGAGAGAGAGAGAGAGAGAGAGAGAGAGAGAGAGAGAGAGAGAGATGACAGCAATAAGCAATGCAAATCAAGAGATAGGACTATTAAAAAAGCAACTAGAGAATTGAAACCTATATGTGATTGCTCAACCGAATTATTGACTACTCACTATTATAAGACAAAGCGGGAATATTATAACCATCCTTGTCCTTGTTTGGACTTTACGTGGGAGGGGGGGGGGGGACTGAAAGACCTATGTAAAAGACCTATGTGAACGGTCTTCTCACCACGAAAAAGTGCAATTTAAGTAAATGCAATACACCAAGCTGAAAGACGTTTATTATCTGAAACAGAGTGACCAAAAGATCAAAGTGTGCAGGATGTTGATATCTATGACCGGGCTCATTTGTTCTAGAAGAGCCCAGGCTAGTTTCATCATCGCCTGGCTCACCCCGTACGGACAATCACTTTCCAATATTCCCTGCCCTGGGCTATATTCTTCATACTATGTTTCAAAATTCTGTCCACTTTTCTGTTCATCATTCTCTGTGACTTTTCTACAGGTTCCACATGACCTTCCCTTGGTCGTTTAACCTGTGGACTCCAAGTTAAAACTTTCTTTGTTATGTAGCTGCCTGGTTTCCAAATGAATATGCTCAGTCAAATCCATCTCCACTGCTTTCTTCTGTCTAAAGATGTTCTGCTTAATACTTCCTCATTGGTGACTCTGTCTGTCCATCTGATCCTGAGAAACTTCCTCGGGCACTTGTTGATGACAACCTGGATCCTCCAGCACTTTGTAGAGAGTGCTTTAGAAGAGCCCTATCTAGCTGCATCACCAAACAATCCACAAGGGGCGTGCAAGTCAAGGATTTTCTGTTCACATCTGTGGACATGCTTCCGAAGGTTCCTTCCCACTATTGCCAGCAAAGCTCTGGAAAACTGAATCTTGATACATGATTCTGTCATCTGTCGGAGATTCATTGGTTTTGCGAAACAGCTTTCACAGGTCAGGGACAATCTGCCTTGTATGTCAGACTACTCAAAATATGTGCTAGATGAAAAGGACATGTCAATCTATGAGCCAAAAAAGACCAATGTGAATTGTGCGTGAGTTTTGAGTTTTGACAACGTCAGCCAGACTAAGTGGGAATCTCACATGTCAGAAAAGAAAAGGACAAAGAAAGGGCACCCCATGGGTAGAACCTTTGCTCTTGGGCAAGAAGACGTTGCGATGATTTGCATGAATCTTCAGGATGTACTTTTGGCACTGTCTATCAATTCCTCCAGCTCTTGTTTCAAAAGCATGCACATAATCTTCAATGCAACCTCGTACGATGCCATCTATTACTTATGACAAAAGGCACGAGGTAGTTTGATTGCAAATGATTTCACAAATTGTTTGATGGACTTTTTTCAACGTGCACAAATGCATGGACGATTATAACAATATATTATTATACAGCTACAGCTGTGTGTGAAGGGGAGGGGGATAACAGCACAAAATTGCATCTATTTATAATGCCGTGGGTGCCTTTTCCACTAAAACAAACACAGAAATTGAATACAAAATCTTATTAGAGATCACACTCAAATGCAAGTAGACAGTATGCACGGCGTCATTGAGCAGCGGCTTTAAATAAAACACACAAACATACAGCCTACTAGATTATGTTGCCATTTTCAGAACTGAATTTTTTATAATTTTATCAACGAAGACCGTATAAAGTGAAATTTGTGGACCGCATTTTCCTCCATGATTTTGCCAAAATTGCAGTCCACAAAACTGTCAGGTCGGGTAGACAAAAAGAAGTCCAAACTGTTAATGCAACAGGAAGCCTCCGCAATATACGTAAGGAGAAATCCTTTGCAAACTGAAATCTAACGAAGAGTGTAAGAGTCTTCTAAAGTCAAGAGACCAAAAAAAATTAGCCAACAGTTCTCCACCACTGTATCATTCTCCTTCTAAAATCGCAAAGAGCAATTTTCAGTATCTGAGAGACAAAGAGTAAGATCGTGAAAGATGATCATTCAGTCATTCACAGGGTATAGAAGTTTGATACAAATCAAGTTCTCAACCAATCCACCCCCCCCCCCCCCTCAGCCCAATAAAAAAGACATACATTTACACACAACTGGAAAAAGAAGAATAGAGAGAGAGAAAGCAGGCAAATGAAGGAGTATGATTTCATAAAATACATACAATATCCCATTCATGTAAGAATGATAGATGTTTATAATGGAATGGTAATGAATAGCTTTCTGTTTCTCTCAGTCTGTAATGTCATACTCAGTTCTAAATTGATTTTTCAAAATCTTTTGTATAACAGTATTCCGTGTTTTCATTTATTTTTAAACTTACAGAGCCTCTAATAAGAGAAAACACACTGCCTTATAACCGTGAATACAACATAACGTTTCATAAAGGCTACTGATAAAATCGTGAATTCCACACGGGTGTGGAATTCACGACCGCATCAGGCGAGATTCGAATATGAAAATCGAGAATCCCACACTTTTGCGAAACAATGACCATCTACGGTACAAAATGTACTACAGTATTATTTCTAAAAGGTAGTTGACTAGATTGATCCATTTAGTTTATGTCTTGAACGCCAAATGAAAGAGGAAATCAGTTTTTCCCTCTCCTGTAAAATTTGCTTCGTGAGGAATTCACGATTTCATCAGGCGGCCGACGTCATGTGACATGCACACTAATGGGAAGCTCACCCTAACCCCCCCACCCCCATCCCGCGCTTTCTTGATTTATCTTTTTGTAATTCCTTTTGCAGGATCTACAAAATATTGTCAGCTCCTTATGTCAAATCGACTTCGACTCTGGGGAGGGAATATAGCTCTCCATATATAAAACAAAGTTCAAACTACATGTGGAAAAATAGGAGAAAACAGAATGATATGACAATCAAATATCTCACCTGCACTTTTGAAGCGGTGAAAGCGCTATGCCTTTCATCGAAGGAGAGTGAATAAAGACAGATTTAAATGGGCTCTTCACGCAACCACAGTTACTCACATACTCACATAAACTACATAGAAGCTTGTGGGTGGTTGGCGGGTTCTCTTGTGTGGTTCGCTCCTTCTTTCGAATCAACCATCTATTGCCTTTTACCTCTCGTCCTTCTTTTTTTTTGTATGTTACCCTCTAGTAACACGTATAACCTATGGCCCTTATATGACCTATTTGTATTGTAAGTACCGTAAAATTTTTACTAACACGAAATAGAAGTTAGCTCTATTAACGTACCCTGTGAGCGACATCCGAGCTGTATCAAGGGAAGGTCGGCGCAGAAGTGCGGGAACTGTTTAGAACGGTGTCTGTGCCATGACCGCGGCATAGAACAGTTGAGCTCGCGAGGACTTACGAAGGCTTCAGGTTCGGAGCAGAGGAAGTGAAGGAATTCCAAGTACTGACAAGAGCAGCTCAACACTTGACCTCTGAAGTCAATTGAAAGACTAGTGGACGATTTCTGGTTATGTCTGGTGTGCCGTAATTGTTCAATGGAGGTGTCAGACAGTCCAGGGAGCACGTTACTTGAGAGATTCAACAGAAGTAAGTAGGAGGCATTGCTAAGGTCGACCTCAAACGTTGCCATGAAGTTCTGGGACATATCTATGTGTTTGAGATTTGTGTTCTTTGACAGAATTCCAGCCGGTAAAGAGCTTATCAGATTGGATCTCATTTCTAAGTTTTCAAGATTGGTCAAGTAGGAGAAAAATTGTCCTTCCTCGTCCAAACTGAGCGGATGCCCGAGACTGTTGTGATTTATAAGCAGTGTTGTTACAGCAGTAAGGCCGTAAAAGAACCGTAAGTTCACAAGGCGGCACAAATTATGAGAAAGATCAAGATACTGGAGATGGGGAAGGTTTAGCAAGGGACCTGCCCAACAAAAAGCCGAGTTGAATGAGTACTCCAAATGTTTCAACGAATTTGGACTTCCAATAGTGAGTTCTGGAATCCCGTACGGCAAGTGCATCTTGTTTGCCTTCAGCACTTCTAATTTCGGAGGAAAGGGGATGGTTGGGGCATTAGAAGATGCTCGTATTGCTTTTCTATTTCTTTTGAGACGTTTCAGGACCTTCTTGTGTTGAAATCCGTGATTTTCCTTTCCATCACTAGGAGATGGCTCTGACTCTTCGAAACTGTGATATGGGAAGACGGCTGTGTTGGTTTCAGATTGCATTTCTTGTTGGTAGGGCATATTATTATTATCAGCATGCAGACCTCTCAACGCTACAGTTATGTTAGGAAGGTGCGACGGGCTATACAATTTCACATTTTCTGGTATTCTTTTCATCTGGGTGTCATGGTACGGAGACATGGAATCTAGCTTCGGCTTTGGACAATGACAGCGAAAGGGATTACTATGTGCTACGTGAAAAGGAAAATTTAAATAATCAGGACACGTGTACTCGTCACTTACTGCTTTGGGGTACGTATTTTCGTGATACCAACTTCCTCCTAAACTGCTATTTTCGGCCCAACTGTTGAAGGTATCGTTACTGGACACATGAAAATTGACTTGTCGGCTTATATCTAACATTTTTAAATTCTTCATACAAACCAAAAATGGCACACTACCTGCTGATATCAAATAATTATCAGATAAATCTAATTCCTCAAGAAGAGGGGGTAAACACATAAACAACAACGGGTCTATGGCATATATTCGGTTTTTACTCAATTTTAGGCGTCTCAATGGTGTACTAATCAAATTATAAAATATCTTGCGAGATAAATAAAAAACATGTTCCATAGACGGTACGATACTGTTAACAATCAGTTCTGTAAGATTTGAGTTTGCAAGACCGACTGTGGCGTTGTAAACCCCATCCAACATGAGGTTATAGTTATTATCTAAGTGCAGAGAGACAATGTTTGGAACTGGTCTGAATAGTTCTGGCGGAATACTATCAATCCCACAGCCCCCCATTGCAATAGTTAATGGCGAAGTTGTTGAATTAAGGTGATCGAAAAGAGACGGTTTCACATTACCAAAAAAGCCTGAATCGTCCGAGAACAAGAGAGTATTTAGTTTATTTAGGAATTGAAACCCAGGACCGAACACAGCATCGGGCACACTGTCAAGGTGAAGTAGTCGAAGATTTCTTAAATTTGACAACGCTACACTAGGGTAATCATATACAACACCCATATTTCGATCATTTAAAGCCATTGCAGAAGAATCGTTAAAATTTTCTTCATAAACATCTTTCAGGCTATGACTTTGTGAGTAGTGCGAACGAAGAGGGTGATTGGCACTTGCCCCGGTTGATGTCGGTGTGCTTTGCTTCACGACTCCTAAACCGATGTCATGAGTGGAGCGTGCAGAGTCATTCCAAATATTCGTGTCACTGGGCTGGTACTTGAAGTCCTCGGGACTTGGTGGAAAGCCCGGGCCACCTTTATTTTTCTTATCGTGTTGTCGGGCTTTACTGTCTTTTAGCGAGAAATACAAATCTTCAATGCGATTATTTTGACGGATAAAAAGCTGTTCCAAAGTTGTAAGATCAGAAAAACACCCGTCTTCATACGTTCCATCGGTGTACGTCAACTCGTTAGAACTCAGATCCAAGACTTGGAGAGAATCAAGACCAATGAAAGTATCATTCACGAGCTTCTTAAGTCCGCAGTTGCTTAGTTTTAATTGCTTCAAGTTTGCTAAACCATAGAAATTTCCTGGCTGAAGCTGCATCTGTTTATTAGAAGACAGATCCAGAGTCACCAGATTGGTAAGCGCATGGAAAGGTGTAGACTTCATTTCAGATATGTTGTTCTCTGACATGATAAGAAGAGCCAAATTTCTTAAAGGACTGAAAGCACTATGTGGTAGTTCCGAGATGTTGTTTTTAGATAAGTCGAGAGTATTTAAATTCGGGGTTTGTCCAATACATTCTTGAGTCAGGTTGGATATTAAATTATCCCGGAGAATGACAGTGACAGCGGTGTCCGGGAGTAACGGGTAGGCTGTCAGGGCGATCCCAGTACAGTCCACCAGAGTGATCTCCCCGTCCGCTGTGCCATTGCAGAAACATCGAGGAGGGCAGCCGGACCAAACTGTACTGCGGCGCAGACCAACCTCATCGGAGTCTCTGGTCGCAAAAATTGGCGATTCTCTGTAGGGTTCCATGACCATTGTTTGGAGACCAGGGCTGTGGATAGATAACTTTTCTGACCAGCCAGGAGAACCGTGTGCGTCCGTTGTGACGTCAGTGAGGCCATGCCGACGTGCAGGTGACACACGAGTGACATCATTCTTACCGTCTGAAGAGGCACTGTATTCTTTCCCTTGATCCATTTCAAAATTCCAGTTTTTCTGGGAAAAGGCTTTCCTCGTGTGGTCAGAAAAGGCACCATCATTATCACTCATGAGGAACGTTTTTCCTCCGGGCTCATTTGAGGAAAAGGGTTGGATTGCTTCCGTTCTTTGTCGTTCTGTTTCAGGTACAAGGTCATGAAGTCTTGGGTTCATGGTCCGAGAAGGCAGCTTCGGTGATTGTCGCATGACAACGCACAGAATAATATCAGCAGCCATCAGAAGAACCAATGCAAGCTTCGCTACACTTCGAATCCACCTCGCCATGGTTTTCAACTCTCCCTGTCTCTCTGTCTCTGTCTCTGTCTCTCTCTCTCTCTCTCTCTCTCTCTCTCTCTCTCTCTCTTTCTCTCCCACTCATTAATGTACTCTTCTATCTCTCAAACCCACTAACTCTTTCAAATATTACACAACTTTCCTTTATCTTCACAAGGGATCAATAAGGAAATGAACGACGGAAAGCAAAAAATACAGGCATCAGCCAATGAAGTGTCAGAGTTCCGATTTCTTCCTTTTGTAGTTGATGATGTTCTCGCTTCTGACAGCCTTCAGCAACAGCAACATCCTGGAACTCCTTCTGATGCCCTTAAAAAAGGAAATGTAGTTACTAAGAATTAAAACTTCAGGAGAAGAAGATCATAATGATAATAACCAATGAAGGAGGAGGAGGAGGAGGATGAGGAGGAGGAGGAGGAGGAGGAGTAAAAGGAAGGGAGGAGGACGAGGAGGAGGAAAAGGAGAAGGATGAGGAGGAGTACGCGGATGAGAAAGAGGAGCTGGAGGAAGAGGATGAGGAGACATTTTTATATTTTTATCTTTCATAATGATAAAATACAGTTGTACTTTTTAGAAGTTCTTACGCCCCCATCGGCACAGTTTACATATGAGGCAGCGTGGTGAAATCAGGCGCTCGTAATAATGAAAGTGAAGGAATTGGTATTTTTCCGCAGGTTTGGAAATTTTTATCGAATATTTGTTTGTTTGTTTGTTGTTTTTTGTCTCAACACCTTCCACGACCATTGAAGAACACATTTCTGTGTGGATTGTACTGAAAAACGTCAATTAAAAGAACAAAAAATGTACATTTTCAGTTTCCAGTGACTCTCAGGCTATGGAAGTTACCAAAGTTTGGTGCCATTTTTTCGATAATTTTACATCTGAAACCAGGTGACCCTGACCTCCTTCAATTGCAAATACATGTATTTATAAAGCATAGATCTAGATGGGTATTTTTCACCAAAAGGAAGGCAAAAGAACAGGGATTAAGATGATACCAATAAACCCATACGCCCAAGAATTGACGAGCGCCTGATCCCTACCTCACAGAACCAACCCTGGCGGAGATGATGACGATGAGCCTTCTCGATACACAGTCTCCCCGCCGGACACTCTGGTAGACCTCGCCAACAAGACACAACACCCCGCACCAACGGCAAACGACACATCCAAGACGTTACCCTCCACCTCACCCGACGCCTCCCGCAGTATACACATCTCCAGCAGTACGACAGTGTCCACCACAACGCCTCCAACCTTGGATCCCCCCACAGTCCCCTGTCAACGTAAATCACATTCTCCAGCTCCACCCGTATATAGCGACTCACACACCCCACCTGTATCCCTCAGTGTGCTTCAACCACCTGCATGCCCTGCCCTGACACCCGCCCCTCCTCTCCAGACCTCAGTACCAGCCGCCTGCAACAAGTCTCCCGCACTCCCGTGGTTCCTGAAGCCTGCAATGTGGACCCCTTGATGCGTACACCCTGTGCTCTTTTAACCACTTCTTGTGTCACACACAATCTCATTACCAACAAAGGCCATCCTACCACGCCTCCACCTCACACCTCATTTCTACTCTGCCTGGCACCCCTCAACCTGTTTGCCCTTACCCCTTTTCTCCCACAACCGTACTCCCCTCTCAGCGCCTACCCACTCAGGACCCGTCCTTTTTACCTCACCCTACAACTATAGACAATGTCGTCAATCTCTCCTCTTTCCCCCTCACCTCGGCCCATAATATTAGTTTCCTATCCAAGGGCAACGGCTTCTGCCCCCCTAAAAAAAATTATAAATAAATATTTAAAAAATTACGACGTAACCACCCAAGCCGCAGCTCATCTTCTCCCCCTCTACACCTACTCACCCCTCCCTCTCAACTGAGATCAACATACTCCCTCCTCCCTCCCTTTTTCACCCACCAAGCACCTGAACCTATACGTTCTTATACTAACCGTTCTCTGACCGTCTAGACCTTAACTCTTTATCTGACCGCACTATTTAAAACCATGGCACTACAGTTTCCCCCTACCCCCC